GAAGTACTTCTTTAAAAAGCCTCAAAATTAACTTCCAAAAATTGTTAATATTAGCCCCTCCAAAAAGCTAAAAGAATACTCACCTGACCAGTTGTTTCCTACAGTGATACTCATGTACCCACAAAAAAAAAAAAAGAGAAACTATGAATCTGCTTAGGACAGCTATTCCATGACTTCGAACCAACATTAAAGCAACACAAAAATTTAAAGGAGCAGTCATCCTCTCAGGGCTGGTATCCACTAACAGAGTAAAGAAAACTGGCAGCACATTATTGAACAGCAATGCTGATCAAGAAGCAAAGCCAGATTCCTCCTGGGAAACTCTATTTGTATTGGGTTTACACAGCAAGGTTTTGGTAGCAGGGGGTTGCAAGGGTATCCTCTCTGACAAGAGGCCAGAGGCTGCCCTGTGCTGGACACAGCCATTTCCAGTTGGCTCCAACTTACCCACTGCTAGCCAAAGTTGAGCCCTGTAGCCAAGCTGGTGCTACTCTGGGAAAAACATATCTAAGAATAGGGAAAATACCAAACAGTAGAGAGGAGCAAGGGGAAAGAATGAGAAACAGCCTTGTAGACACCAAGCTCAGAGAAAGAAGCGGTGCTGTTCCAGGCAACGGAGCAGATATCCCCCCCAGCCTAAGAGGACCATTCTGGAGCAGATAACCACACTCAACCCATGAGGACCCCACACCAAAACAGGTGGATATTTTCTGAAGGAAGCTGCAGCCACATGCTGAAGCAGGCTCGCCTATAGGAAAGACAGGGAAAATCTTTTTAGTAGGGCCAGCAGGACAAGGGGTAATGGTTTTAAACTAAAACAGGGTAGGTTTAGACTGGATATAAGGAAGAAATTCTTTACAGTGAGGGTGGTGAAACACTGGAAGGGGTTGCCCAGAGAGGTAGTGGAGGCCCCATCCCTGGAAACATTCAAGACCAGGCTGGACGGGGCTCTGAGCAACCTGATCTGGTTAAAGACTTGCCTGCTCACTGCTGGGGGGGCTGGACTAGATCACCTCTAAAGGTCCCTTTCAAGCCAAAACATTCTATGATTCTGACAGAAACTACAGCCCATAGAGTAGACGCATGCTGGAACAGGGACAAAGTGCAAGGAGTAAGCAGCAGCAGAGGTGTTCTAGACTGCAACTGCCCATTCCCCATCCCCACTGTGCCACTCCAGGGATAGGACTAAAGGAATGAAGTTGAGCCTGAGAAAGACTGGGCAGGGGGCAAGAAGGTGTTTTAAACGGTCTTTGCTTTTCACTATTCAAATCAATTTTAATTGGCAATTTTCTTCAACTCTGTTTTGCCCATGACAGTATCTGGTGATTACCCTATCTTGACCACACATTTTTCCATCTTATTTCTTCTTCCATACTATTGATGAGGAACAAGAGTGCTGCTGGGTGGGTATTTGGCAGGCAGCCAAGTCAACCAACCACACTATTGCATGACATGACCTACTTCCCAGGAAGTTTCAGTTAACCTGGCAAACATGGGTTAAAAATGATTGTTAGATGAAGTAAAGCACTTATACTAAGTTATCACTACATAAGCTTAGGACATGAAATATTTACACCTCTTGCTTGTCATGATGCCAGCCTCCCTGATGTAGAAGATGCAGCTGTGAATGCAGGTAGAAATCCTGCCAGTTTAGCCACACCACCTCTTTAAGGCAACTGACTCCTGACAGCACCTACAGTCTGCATTAACACTCTGCCAGCATGGCTGTTATCCAAGCAAATACCTACAGGTTCTCTAGAGAGAGCTGAAAGAAGGAAAGTGTGTGTGTAGAATCAAAAGTCCATTAAAAAAAAAAAAGGGGAACACGCTAGCCTTAAATCTTCAAGACAGCATTAACTGTACCTATCCTTCTCTAAAGGCCTTCAGAAGCAGGTTAAGAGACTGACACATCTATAGAAAGTTCCCATTATCCTTAAGATTAGATAGGAGAACAGTTTCTCTCTTCCTTGCTAGTATTCAAGTGTACCACTCACTATTTATCAAGAGAACACTGTTCCCTTTGTAGTAGCCTCCATATACTTGAACTGATGTCAATGCCTCTAAGTCCCTGATTAAGGTAAGCCACGTGAAGTGCTCCGTTTTGAAGACAGAGACTGATGTGAACAGAGAATGCTCATTTTCTTCTATTACTCACCTCAGGTAACTTCAATTGGTTCACAACTGTTTTGAAGTACCCCATGAAAAACTGATGTAATACTCCCAACTTACCATTGTTGAGTAGACTTCCATGTTTCACAAGTTATAGTCTTGTTCATATATTGAGCAAACATAACTATGTGCTCTGGAGTATTTTTCTTTCCCTTAACAGTTTTTATACCTATTCCTAAGAGTATACAACGTTTCTCTTGCTGCTAAGAGTATCAGATGAAAGTGTGAGAAACCATAATAAAGAAAGGAGAAGCAGTAGATTTGCTGTCTTCAGGAAAGGTTACATTCTGTAGAAAGAAATTAGACTAGTTTGACATTACTTGACAACCCCATGCTGGCCATTACTTCTTTCCTTGGGATCTTCCCGATGCATTGCTCTTGACTATATTGAGAAATTAACAGCTTCATCTTTGAGTTTAATTTAGCTTTGAGTAAAACAATTGTTCTCAACATTTACTTTATGTCAAAGAAAGCTTAGTCTTCAGAGAAAAAAAGGATTAGCTTTGGTTAACAGCAAATTACATGATAATATATATCTAGAAGTAACAAAATAATTAAAGCAAGAATATAGAAGGGCACTATGCAAAGACAATTGATTATAGAAGTCTGAATGTAGACACTAAACTCACACTGTAAAAGACCTCAAAGACTAAGTGCTAATCCTGAACACATTTTGTTCTGTCAGTCCTGGTAAGAGTCTGCAACTCCCATAAACCTGACCATCCCAAACAGAAAGCAGAAATAGCATTCTCCATATCTAGTACTTGCCTCAACAAATGGAATTTCTCTTGAAGTCTGAGAAGTGGCCCCATTCTTGAACAATAAAGAGAACTAAGGACAGAAGTGTTGTAAAGCAATAAGCAAAGCTCCAAGATATTTTCTGCACTTCTACATTGATCAGAAGTATTATATATGGATATTAAAGATTTTGTTCTTTTCATGGAAGCCACTAATTGAATAACTTACAAATTACATACATGCAAAGACCACTCAAATACTATTAACATACCAGTCCTGCAAGAGTTAAGATGGACATTGTCACATTCACAGGACATCTCAAGGGAAAGTCAAAGTAAACAAGTTTTGTAACATGTTTCATAGCACAACCCTATTCTAAGTGTAAATCTGCCAGGAAAAATTATCCACCTGCAACTCCCCTTCAGTCTGCGATTCTTAAGTTAACAATTCACAGTGACTGTCAGAGTTATCAAGAGAATAAAAAGCATTCAAGCCACAAGAACAGAGAGACACTGGAATACCATCCTGACCGTAAATGATAATCTGTAAGTAGCTAATGATATTGTACAGTATCCTATGAGAACACAGTGAACTGTTAAAGTCCTACAGAAAATAGATATGGCCAATGCATTTTTTAAATTTCAGGTTAATGTGAAAAGTTAAAGAAGCTACACAAGCTATTTTGAATCAAAGGAAGCATCTAAACTGTTCAAGTGCACATTTGTCCTTTAAATGAGAGGGCTAAGTCTAGATTTCTAATGTATCATAGAAAGATAACTCCACTAAGAATTTCATGCTGAAAGCTTTTGTTCAACTGCTATTTCAGCCCACTTCCATTGGTACTCAGCATTAACTTTCAAGTGAAGCCTTCAGTTTAAAGTAATGCTAAAATTTCTTCCTACATCTAGTTGGCAAAAAATGGCAATACTGTCCCATAAAAGTACTAGTTTTTAAAATCAGGTGTCTACTAAAATCAAAGTCCTGAGATCAAAAAGAGACCAAGATCAAAAGCTTTGCCCCGGCAACAGTATCCTTTACACTGGTTAAGTATCAAGGTGTAAGTTCTATGCAGCTAGCTTACTACTGATCAAGTAATTACTTGGCAAGATGCTCATTTCAAATGCATATATTCTCAAAGCACCTCTCACTTCTGCTGGCTACATGCAATTTAGATTAACCTAAGCTACCTGACAGCTATAGAGTTCTTCCTTCACCCCATTTTCACATGCTTGAGAAAAAGTAAGTTATTCAGTTTTTCTATGGCAGTGGCACTATGGTAGAACAGCTAGGACTGGCTCCTTTTCAATCTTAATCACATTTGAGGCAAGGTAAAAGGTTTTCCAAGAGCTCAAACGCAACTTGCTATAGGGCTGTCATTGTATAGTATAATAGCAATTAACAAAATAAGCAGTTTATATTCAGGATAGTAATTGAGAAACGACCTATGATTTATATGGGAAGAAGAAAGCTGGAAGTTATTTCAATTTAAGACTCAAAAAGTGAGAAAAAGTTTTACCTTTAGAGGTCTGATAGCTTCACAGAACTTCGTCCACCAGCTTTTCTCAATAGACTCCAGATGCCTCTCTCGTCTTCGAAGTGTCCTTAGTCTCTCTTCTAGTTGTTGTACGGTCCGTCTGTCCCTTGACGACAGAGGCCGACCATCTCTGCACTGGTTACCAAGAAATAGCGCAAAAGATCAGGGGACATTGAATCAAGAAAATAGACTTGACATCTAGTTTGACGAGTTACAACTCTAAAGACTTCGTAGTATATAATTCACACTGCTCCTATGCATAACAAGAGAACAAAATGCATAAGTCACAAGTTGCAACAAGGGGAATTCCTATTAGGTGGTAGAAAGCACTCTTCACAATGAGGATATTCAAAACTTAACAGGGTGAACAGTCTGCATGGCTAGAAATGCTTGAACTGCCCAGATGTGATCTGAATAACCTGATCGAACCTGAAAGGGGTCCTTGCTTTGTGCAGAGGGTTGAACCTGATTACTTTCAGAGATCCCTTCCAATCAAATCCCATGACTAAACCAATATATTAAGCTTGGCATCTGTATTTTCTTTCCAGCATTCCACTACAGATCCTCAGCTATGTTTCTTGTACTTGTAAGAGCAAAGTGACTTACTGTTCCAAAAATTAACTTCACAGAAATCCAAACAGGAAGCACCATTACCCCAAGAATTAGTTGAGTGTACCAGATAAGTGTTTATTTGAGGATTATGTTTAAGAATATACTTTAATTCTGAGCTTCTAAATATTGAGCAGGCACCATTGCAGTCTTGTTGTAAATCGAGTGGCACATCCTTAAATCTCAGTTCTATGATAATAAGCAAAAGCAACAAAATAGGCATTAGGCAGCTGAACCAAAATTGTTTCTAATATTCATGCTACTGTATAAAAAAACTGATCCTTAGATAAAAAAATTGTTATAGTTTTAATACATCTCCTACTACGTTTTTAAGTTTTGAAATTCCCTATTCAATTTTCTTCCTGTTATTTTAAAGGAGCCTTCCAATAAATAGTGAAACACTTCACATCCAGTGAAGTTAAAGCAAATCTTTTTTAGATAAATTTCTCAAAAAGGTTACAAGACTAAGATCATATTCTGGGCACATGTAACATACTAGAGATCACAGTGTACTTTTACCAGGAACACATATTCTCACATATCACCTCAGTGGCTTGAAAAAGACTTCGAAAATAGTCCAAGCTCCCAAGCTGCAAGTCCAACCTTCGATTATTTAAGACTAACAAAATAAAGCTACCAAGTGTGCTAATAGCAGAAGACCATACTACATACTCAAGCTTTTCATTAGGTTAAGTAGCATACTTCCGTACTTCTAGTTTTCACTGTACATTACTCTCAGTAACACTCACTTTCTTCACAGAAATGTAGCTGAAGAACCAAGATTTCCATTACAGACTGAGGCAGAATCCTGACCATAACTCATAAACCAAGGAAAATCAGTTTATAGTAATGGTCACATTAAAATATAGACATAACTTGAAGACTTTCTACGTTTTTGATCCTATTTGTTAGCTAGATCAAACAAGATGACCAGTTGCTTGCAAACTCTCATAATACAACATAGTATTCTGTAATAAGTAATGCTCTGTTTTTCAAGGGTTTAGTTTTTCTCATATTGATTTCAGTAATACAGATGCCTTTGTTGTAGTAGTACTCTGCACAAACCCAAAACTTTACAATTATAACTTGAGGAGACTACTTCTTAGGTTTCATTATGCAACAAATTTCTAGAATACTGAAGGTGCCCACACTGTAGAGGTAGCCAAGTATCAAGAGAAGACTGCTGGAACCAATTCAACACTGTTGAGGGCTACTATCACAGAGCACACAACAGCACAGATGGACTGCCAGGGTGAAAGTGATGCAACTTAATGCTCTTTCCCTGCACTAAGGGCTGTGAAAACACTGGTCAAACCATTATCTGAAATGGGTTGGGAAAAGGGTGGGAGATATCCCTAGCATCTTGTTCGTAAAAGAAAAATCTTATCCTCCTTCAGCTCATGCTCTGAGGTTGAGTGTTCTGCTTACATTATGCACAGCATTTCAGCGAGCTGCAAAACCATCATGGGCTTACAAGTGGTGTTAACATCCTAGGGATGTTTAGGATTCAGAGCAGAGATTTCCATATGTATGCTTTTCCTCAGGAAGTGATTTATAACAGCAAGGTACATTAACTAGGAAGCAAGAATATCTGGGGCTGTTATTTATTCATAAAGATGATTAATAGTTTGATGAATCTAACTCATGACAGCTCCATGTGGCAAGTATCCAGTGTTGATAACTACATTGAGTAATTATCAACAAATTGGATGCCATATCTGGTAGCAGACTAAGAGAGGTAAATATTCTTAACTTCTACAAAGTATGTCTTCCATATATACAAGCAAGACTGGAGAAGTTTGAATTTAGCTCATCGGCACCTTTATTAGCTAGACAGAAATAACTACTGCTGCAGGACTGAAAGAAAGCCTGATCACTACTACACAAGTGACCACATTTGTTTCCAAATAACTCAGATAACTACAAGCTAGTCACTTCTGACCCACTATTCTTTCCGGAACAAAAACTCTTAAAGCAAGACCAGTAAGAGAGCAAAAGAAAAAAATTAAGAAAGTGAGAACACCAAGACCATACCTTTGATTTAATCCTTAATAAATGTTGCTCCACTTCTTCAATATCTTCAGTGTTCTCTAAACGTTCATAAGCCGCACTGGTAGTTCCCTTAATCAAGTTTAAAGGCAAAGCTGACATACCATAAGCCTAAAATAAAAAGGAAACATACATACTCAAATTTTCTGTCAGACATTTTCATCTGATAAGGCTCCTGTATATTGTAGCTATAAGGTATCACTGCTGGGATTTTTTTCCCCACCCTCCTTCTACAGATTCTCACTGAGACAATCAATTCTTTTGTTTTGAGCAAAATATAACAAACATGCTATGCAGATTCAAGCACCCCATATTGTTCAAATAGTACTTAAGCATCTCATCACTGTTGAGACAATAGCCTGTGTTAAGACTTCATATAAGCATAGCCCACTGAAGATTTATCAAGCTAGCCCTTGGGGTTTTTTTGTCAAATCATTTAGCTTCCCAAAACGTCAACCTTCCCACTTTAGATCATACCAAAACATTATTTAAGTTTAATATCTAGAAATTCCTGTATTAAACAGTTTTAGAAGCAAAAGTATACACAATTTCTTTGCAGTCAGTAGTCTTCAACTTACTTTTAAAATGAAATTACATAGAAAGTACCTGATTTACTAAAAAAAAATCTGCACTAAAAAGACAAAGCAGAAGCTAGGTGAACACCTAAACTCAGTGTTGTGGTTTAGCTCCTTCTGACAACCAAGCACCACACAGCCGCTCACTCACCCTCCCTACCCCAGTGGGATGGAAGGAGAAAATCAGAAAGAAGATTCATGGGTTGAGATAAGAACAGTTTAATAATTAAAATAAAATAATAATAATAAATTGTATCAAAAAAAACAACAAAAGAGAGAAACAAAACTCAGGAAAACCAAGTGATGCAACTGCTCACCACCTGCCAACTGACACCCAGCCTGTCCCCAAGCAGCGACCACTGTCCCCAGCCAACTCCCTGCAGTTTATATACTGAGCATGATGTCACATGGTCTGGAATAGCCCTTTGGCCAGTTGGGGTCAGCTGTCCTGGCTGTGTCCCCTCCCAGCTTCTTGGGCACCTGGCAGAGCACAGAAGGCTGAAAAGTACTTGACTGGTGTAAGCACTGCTCAACAACAACTAAAACAGTGTTATTCTTCTCACCCTAAATCCAAAACACAGCACTAAGCCAGCTACTAGGAAGAAAATTAACTCTGTCCCAGCTGAAACCAGGACACTCAGTTACATGCCAGGACTGCTTAGATGTCCATTCACATTCATAAATTTACTCCTAGTTACAAATCCTATACCATTCAAAGTGTTTGCCAGCTTCTACACTATGCCCAGTTTTTTCCAATGCAAAGTCTGTAAGCTTTCCAATAACCTAGGAAGAAACAGATATTTGAGGTGCAGGAAAGAAAATATCACTATTTCTTCCTTGCTACCCTATGAGTCTTATAGATCTAGGCCAAGGCTAGAAGTTTCTCCTAGCAGTTCAGAAACATTAGGCATAGGCTTTTTTCATAGAATCATAAGATGTTTTGGGTTGAAAGGGACCTTTAGAGGTCATCTAGTCCAACCCCCCTGCAGTCAGCAGGGACACCGCTAACTAGATCAGGTTGCTCAGAGCCCCATCCAACCTGGCCTTGAATGTTTCCAGGGATGGGGCCTCCACTACCTCTCTGGGCAACCTGTTCCAGTGTTTCACCACCCTCATGGTAAAGAATTTCTTCCTTATATCCAGTCTAAACCTACCCTGTTTTAGTTTAAAAACCATTACCCTGGTCCTGTCACAACCAGCCCTGCTAAAAAGATTGTCCCCTTCTTTCCTATAGGCTGCCTTTAAGTACTGAAAGGCCATAATCAGGTCTCCCCACAGCCTTCTCTTCTCCAGGCTGAACAACCCCAGATCTCTCAGCCTGTCCTCATAAGAGAGGTGCTCCAGCCCTCGGATCATTTTTGTGGCCCTATGTTTTACTGTGGGTGGGCGGCTGTTGGTAATGAGTTTTTCTTGGTACAAAGCTTATCAGGAAGAGTTTTTCTTTTCTTTCTCAATCACAATTAACATGTACAGTTTTGCTAGAAAGCTTGATATCTGAACTTTTGCTAACTACAGAAATAAGTAGTTTTCTAGATTTTCACAGGAACACCACTCCCTCCTTCAAGCACAGCTTTACATTTCATACTGAGAATAGATTTAACATGAATATTTGTGTTATAAGCGTCACCATACATGCTGTCAGATCACATGAGCTTTCTGTACACAAGATTATCTGACCTGCTTAAGAACCTACTTACACACACTAATGTCTCATGCATTGTACTCAAAGCAAGACACCATCTATTTTTTGGTGTATTTTTCAACATGCCATATACCCTGCCACCAACACTCATTTCTAAGCCCCTTTAATTAAGGGGTCTTGTAGCTCAAATTATAGCTCAAAGACATTAATTATTTAAATTAATAGCCATTTCAATATGAGTGTCTGACACTGAGCCCACAAACTTCAGTTCCACTCTGCAAGCAATAATATTCCATGATTTCAAGAAACATTCTTCTAGGTATCAGGCTACAAAAGCATGAAACAAGTTTAGCAGTCTGACAACCTTGTTCAGTTACTGTGGAATGAGGTTTCCTATGTTCAGTGACAATTACCAGTAAATTATTGGAACAGTGTCAGTTGAGTTCAACAAGCAGACAGCATGTGTGTCTCAACAGGCTTTAAACCCAAGGAAACAGCAGTACCTGTTAAATCACTTAAAAGGATTTAAGCAAGGGTAGGAGAAGTATTTTCCCTCAACTATTTCTTGAAGTACATATTAGCAAAGAACACATTCAGCTAGATCTTTGACAACTTGCACTACATGACTTTTTTGTGTAGCTATAAAGTATTAGAATTGGTTTTACCATGGACTCAGAGAATACTGTATGCTGTTAGCTATCTGCTCAGCATTTCAGGACTTCACAGTTAACATAGCCTCATTTGTCACCCAAAAATACAGCTAAAAAAAGTATTCACAGCACTGTTTACAGACTGTTCCAAATAAAGTTAAAAGTCCACGGTTTTTTAGCTACAAAAGATAACTGGCAGTTTCAGTCCCTATGTTAGAACTTTTTACAGTAAAAGCTATAAAAGGGAAAAGACATCTCTTATAACAGGCTAGTGGTGACAACAACATTTCATGCTTTCCAAGACATTCTAGAAGTTCTTGTTTGAACACAGCTATCCAGCCACAGAAAGGCCTACCTACAAGATTAAGTATTTTAGGTAAGGAAAATAATTTAACTTAGGCTGGACTTTACAGCTTTGTCCATAAATGTGGCTCAGTTCTCCCTTCAGAGTACCCTTTGAGAGCATTAAGCTGCTTTGCTATCTACAGAAGCTAAAAAGCAGTCTCCTCCAGTCCTCCTCTTCTGTAGGCTGAAGAAAGAATTCCTCCAACCTTTCTTTATGGGTTGCATTCTCCAACTCTCTACAAGTCTCCACTGGAGCCTCTATAGTTTTCCAGTTTCTTAAACTGGGGGACCAAAACCAGACACAGTATTCCCAGGTATTGCTTTGGAAGCGCCAGGTACAGTAGAATAATCACATCCCTTCATCTCATGGCTATGTTCTTGCTGATGCAAGCCCAGGACACTGTTTGCCTTCTGCTGCAGGGCACACTGCTGGCTCATGCTCAGCTTGCTGTCTACTAGGACTTCCACAACTTTTTGGCAGAGCCATTCCCAACCACTCAGACCCCAGCATGAACCATTGTTTGAAATTAATCCGCTCTAAGAGAAAGCCTTAACATTTGCTAAACCTGATGCCTTTCTTGTTGGTCCAATCTTCCAAACTGTTGACATCTCTGTGGTGGCTCTTCATTCTGTTGTATCTACTTCACCCAGTTTAATATCATTCTCAAACTTTATGACTACGTATTCAACCCCATCACCTAGATCATTTATGAAGACCGAGTAGTATTAGGCCCATACTGACCCTGAAGAGCTCACTCAGGTCTAGCTGCTAGTAGCATAATTCCAGAATTTAGGTAAAAGTAAAAAAACTATCCAATTTCATCACTAGAATGCATACTACAATCTAACCAAGGTCCCTCTGTGGAACCCAAAACATTTCCAGCCAGAGCCAGAGACACTCAATATGTAGAAACACACATAATGAGAGATTGCTATGACAATAAGCCTACACAATTTTACAAACCTAAGCTTAGAAGCAATTAAATTTCACCATTAAGCAGAGGCTTCCACCTGTTCTTCAAACAGCTACCATCAACTAATGATATCAAGTATTTACTCAACAGAAATACTTAAGAAATAAAATTCAGAGTTCTAAATCTCCTAAATCTAAGTTTCTACAAAGCAAACTGCAAGTCTTGAAATGATGCATTGTTTTGCTGGTTTTGCAGATGTGAATTACAAACTTGAACATCAAGCTTGCCCTAGCAATAAAGACATCTAAGTTCTGTCCTTCAATACAAAAGATGCTAATAGTGAGATGATTATGCAAGTAAGCCTCCCATCATCAGTGGGAGAAAAAGCCACATTGGTCCTTCAAGACATCAATACACAGAATGAAGGACAGAGCAATGAGTCATCTCATGTGTTGCGTCACACGTCTGAACAGAAGCTGTATTAGCTCAGTTTCAGGGCTGCACTTCCCTTCAGGCTGATGGAGAAGTTCAAGGCTGCACTGAACAAAGTTTTAATCCCCTGGGTTAGTGCAAGTGTTGTTATTCATGGGCTATTATTGTTGACATCTGCAACTCAACAAGCATACAATGTATTGAAGATAGCACAGAAAAACCAAAGCTGTACACTAAAGCCAAGAGGGCTCAGTCCTGAAACAAATCATTGGTTCAGAGTTAGGAATAAAACAGGTCAGAATAGCCTTTAAAATAAAGACAAGTTAATTTATATATATGAATTTTGATAAAACAAGTGATTAAGTCTTGACATATTTATAACACTGAAATAGCAGTTTCCATGACCTATTTTTAGACAACCTTTGCCTAGAAGTGTTAAGTCAGATAAGAGGCACTGCACTGAAGAGTAGAAACAGTCATCCTAATTTAACAGGCAATTAGAGCATACATGGCTGTTTTTTCCCCATACAGGTTCTTCAAAATGAACTGAATC